GTCGATGGTTGCTCAATTAAAACTGACTTCTTCTCACTCACTCATTTGTGTCCTTTTTTGTGGTGAGCTACAGTGTCATTGACACTTTCATTTACAAATGCATCGACTCAGCTGAACATATTTGATCTGGAGTTCTCCTACTTGATTTTCGTAAAGCCTTTGATCTCGTTGATCAGTCTCTCTTACTTAAAAAGCTGAAAATTTATAGATGTGATGATGCAGCAATGAAAAATTTTCGAGAGTTTTTTAATCTAACAGATACTCGAAAGTATTTTTTAATGGGTCATTATCAGCTGAAGTGCCCATATCCGTTGGTGTCTCGCAAGGTTCTATTTTGGGGCCCCTCTTTTTTATTATGTTTATAAATGACATGCCCCTGCACATTAACAATGCCAGTGTTCATATGTATGCTGACGACGCCACCGTTGTTGTTACTGACAAATCTTTACCTAACCTGGAACAGCGTCTAAATAACAATATGGAGGAATTTCGTGAATGGTGTTCTAAAAACAAAATGGTCATCAATCCAGCGAATATCAAAACCATGCTGGTCACTTCCAGACAGAAGCATTCTACGCTCCCATCTGCGGTACTCCATACTGTCTATGATGGATCTGTTCTTCCCACCACGTCGAGTGAGAAAAGTTTAGGCATCCATGTTGATGAAAATCTCACGTTTGATGAACACATAATGAACGTGCATGCCAAGATCTCGAAAAAGCTGGCACTGTTTTGGCAGGTCAGGACATTTCTCGATCATGATTCCTGCCTGAAGTTTTACTTTGGCTTTGTTTTATCTGATATTGATTATGGTATTGTTGTGTGGGGAAATGCCGTGAAGAGTTATATTGACAAAGTTTTTAACCTGCAGAAACGTTTTGCGCGGTTGATTCTTAACATTCGTAGACCTTCAGACGCCCGCACTGAAGAAATCTTTTCGCAGCTAGGTTTTATGACTGTTCGCCAACGTTTTTATTACCATCGATCTCTTTTAACTTACAAAATTTTACTTAAGCAGGCACCTGCCTATCTTGACGGTTTTTTTACTTTTAAACATGAAGTGAGCTCCAGACGGACGCGTAGTGTGTGTGCAGATGAAGCGCGTTTGTATCTGCCCCGTGCACGCACTGAAATGCTACGAAAATCTTTTCGGTGTGCGGCGGCATCTGAATGGAATAATTTACCTCCTGACGTTCGAGATGCCCCCACCATTTCTTCTTTTAAAGTCCGTCTAAAGAAAATCTTTATCAATAGGGCCCATTGTGCCCATCTACTTACCCAGTACAATTTTAGTCAAAGTATTTCAATCTATTGTGTATTTATTTAATATTTAACCGTTCTGTTGCTGTGAGACGGCTATGTGAAAGATAGGTCCGCGCCAATTTATTGTGTCTGTACCTAACATGTTTTACCGACGTTAAATAAAGTTTTTACTTACTTACTTACGTTGATAGCTCTAACACGTGCAGGGCAAATTTCATTGTTTAAATCTAAAGCGCAAACCAAAGAAATCTAAAGAGATTGAGTAACATATACTCCTGCAAATCGAAAGGGTTCTGCCGATCTCTAAACTGTCGTTCTCTACATAGTCTGCACTGCTACAAACGCTGCTATATGAACACCCACCCAGACGATTTGTGGACAACTGTTTGTCATTATTAACTCCTAATTAATATATATATATATATATGTATATATATATCATGATGATGTCAGTGACTGGTACGATGGTGGTGGTTAGTAGTGTGAAAGGTGATGTTTTAATGTTTTTTCTGTGCTCACAGCTCTTAATTGGTGTATTTTATCATAGATTGAATACTTGACCAGAACCGAGGTCACAGCAAATTTCCATCTTCTGAGTATCCTGCTGCCAAGGGCCGTAACGCAGGACAATGCCACAGTCGGGCGCAAGGTTGCTATAGCAACGTTATCTGGAGCTCGCATCCAGGCAACAATTAGCTGTAAGTCACAACTGAGTGATATGTGACTGCATAAAAAGGTCTTAGTTGTATAGGAAGTATATTGGGTAGTCATTCATAAGCGATTTTAGCATAGAAACTATCTTGATACCTAATACTGTTATTGATATTTTCTTGGTTTGTATACTAGTTGCTGCATATGGCAGCAGAAATATCGGTCATCTAGCAATAATACATAGTAGCATAATATAATAGTATAATATATAGTTGTACAACATATAATGTACTTTATAGCAATAGTAATAGTGTAAGGCATGTAATGTGAACTAATTACTAAAGTGTCATTATTAATATTGCTTGCAGCATCCGAACTTCAAGTGCAAGGTTCCCTTGGTGGAGTGCAACTCATGGATTTAACACCAGAGGGCAGTATGCACAAGGAAGTGTTCACAGTTGGGCACGACCCAAACGTGCAGCGGGCATGTGAGGTCCCACGGCCAGCGCACGGCAGGGAGCTGTTCCATTCGACTTTCCTTGATGTCGGGAATTCAGCACTGCAGGACGAGGGTTTCTTACACAGCTACATGCCTGCGAACATGTACAGGACTGCGCACGAGTCACTGCTCAGCACGCTGGAACTCAATGACCCGACGAAGGCGTTCACGTTTAAGATAGTGCAGCCGCGTGCCGACAGCACTGATAATGCTACTGTTCTCAGCTCCACTGTCGACGAATCGCGCGCCGCGACGCAATCCGGAGACGTAGTCGAACTGACGCTGCGTGTCGCGTCGATGAAGTACACGCACTCGCCGCGTTTGCTCCAGGAACTCTCGAGCTGTGTTGGTGAGTTCCGCCATTACATGGATAACGTGGCGACGACGATCCGCCACACGGCAACCGACATAGCGATCGGCATCGTGCACAAGAAACCTGAGCTGCTCACGCAGTCGCTGTACCTCGACACACCCAGTAGGCGGCGCCACCTCTCCGAGGAGCCGGACATCTTCGGAAACACGTTCGCCAGCGAGAGTTGCGACGAGACTGACTTCGACGTGCGGCTGGACGTCGTTTTGCAGACGCCCGTCATCGTGTTACCACGGCAACAGTCGAGCGCCGAGGCCCTTGTCATGCACCTGGGCAAGATCATGATCACGAATGTAGCGCAAGACAACGCGGAGATGGTGGACATTCAGTCAATCAGGCCAGACCGCATCTACGTGGAAGTGCGGGACATGAACCTTTACTCAAAGACTGTGTCAGCCGACGTCGTTATGGCTAAGCAGGAGGACACGAAAGGTAGTACTTTGTAACGAGTTGTTACCTGCAATTGTGGTGAGCAAAGTAGGAGCACGCTGTAGATTTGAGAAACCCGCAACACACAGGTTCATTCTTAGTCTTTATCCTGTTGTGTTTTTTTCAGGCAACGTAGTGTCCAGTATTGTATTGCTAGCTGTCGAATATTGATATATTTTCAGCCGATTTCTTGTGATTGTAGGTATGCCCATACTTCATGACACTACTGTAGAACTGACTATAGATCGAATCCCTAAGAAGGATGTAAACAGAGCTTCACACAGCTTTCCCGGTGGTTTCCATGCTGACGAATCTTCACATACTACTGCCGTGAACTGTGACGATCAGCACGTTGTTGAGGTGGGCGATAGATAAAATGGCTTTTCGCATGATTATCATGAGTTTGATAAGTCTTTGAAACTTTTTAGAGTAAACTCTAATAATTTCTACTAGTTTTGTTTCCAACACTCCATGTATATTTTTTATTTCTAATTTATTTGATATATAAGGTGTATACTAAAAACTTTGCTTTAAATAATAATGAAAGCCGGGTAAAGCGTGTTAAAGGGCAGTAAGATAAATTGGAATGCTCAGTGTTACCACGAATTATTCTGCTTGCTTAATTAACATGTTTCATTAATGTAAAGGTCACCAGCAAGGTCGTATCGCCACTGATGGTCGTGTTGTCCAAGCAGCAATACGAACAGGTGCTCGAAACACTGGACAACATGACGTACAATCCCGCAAATGTTGCGCCACCTGGTGACAATGTTGATCTGTCGGACATTGAAGAGGATGCAGTGCTTGAACCGAGCACATCGGCACTGAAGCTAGACCGCGAGAAGCGCAAACGATCGTCGATAGACCCAGCCAGCTCTAATGGGCTGGACACTGCCCAGTTCTCTCCAGTCTACGCTCAACTGCAGGTCTGTCTAGTCAATGAACACGAATTCTACCAAAATAATTTACAAACACTGTGGTAGAAGTGAGAGGAAATTAGTGGTGATTTAATAGAGATAATGATAATTAAACTTCATACCATGAAGAAAATTCCCATTAAAATAAAATTATTATCTAATTATTTTTTCTTTTTATTAGTTAATTTAATTTTTGCGCTCGTGTACAGGTGCCAGACTTCAGTGTGGAGCTCTGGGGCAATGTCGGTGATGGGGAGCAGGCCCTCGTCACGATCTCCTTCCAGGACTTTGAAGTGAACATGCAGAGCAGCGAGCAGAGCGTCACCATGCTACAGGTCACGCTGCGGGCACTGCTGATGGAGGACATGCTACAGGTATGGCCAATGCAAGCTACAACAAACAACTATGGCAGCTATGCTTGTTCTACTGATGCAGGTGTTCTTTATAAGAGCACTTTTATCGTTAGGCTGGAAGACTGGAAAGTATATGTATATATGTATGTGTGTGTGTGTGTGTGTGTGTGTGTGTGTGTGTGTGTGTGTGTGTGTGTATAAATCCACCCTTAATGTTGTGCGTGTTGCCACACATATATGATACACTTGTATGTTGTGACACAGTGAAAGGGGAGACATTGTACATGTGCAAAGTAGAATGCTAATTTTTGATAGCCAAAGGATTCGGACCACAAGTACATCATGGTGTCGAACGTCGATGAGGAATTGCCAGATCCTGAACCAGCCGTTCAGCCCAGCTTTGTTTCCATCTCCTGTCCAACATCTACTCAATGGCCAACGCTACCAGATATGCCTAACTCACTGCCTTCCGTATTGCTGGAGCCAACTAACTACTTCAGCCATGCGCATAGAAAGCAAGGTAAGGTTTTCCTCTTCCTGCATTTGTAGCACTTACAAAGGAAGTTATCTTCTCCCCAATTCGTTGAAGCATACGAAAAGCCAAACAAGCACACCCAGTCCCCTAGTGTGCGCACTAGCAGTTAGTGATTTTACTTGTTATTGGATTAGTGCCTCGTTCATCCATCAGCCAAGGTTAGTAGGCCTGTCGTTACCATGTGTGATAACTAGTAACTCTTGATTGTCTGAAATCTAACCTTCTCCTGTTGTGCTGTTTCAGTTCAAAGACGAAGCATCTCACAATGTAAAGACCCTCATCCATACACACCCCCACCCTCGCCCACGCAATCCAATCCGGTCCTGTCTGGGGCGAGGTTGAAAAAGGAGGAAGAGGAAGAGGCAGACGCACTGGTGCAAATCAGTGTCATGTTAGTCGATAAGACCCACCCTAGCTTTGCGAAAAAGTACAACTCTGTAAGTTACTATGGGTTGTAGCATAGCTAACACAGCATGCACATATTACTTTAGACTATTTTAATATATGCAGATTGTGATTAACAGCCATTAAAATGGACTTGAAGTGGAAACCAAATGTAAGAAATTGTTCTCATCTATGTCTCTTCAGACAAACCGATTCTTCGATATCAACTTCAATTCCCTGGACACTACCATCAATCTACAAACTTGGGTCATGTTGCTAGACTTTTTAGGGATGGGTGCCAAGGTGGCTACAGCAGGATCTCCAGTAGACACCGGAATAAAGCGGAGCCCATCTAAAATGAGCAGCTGTGGTGATGTGAAATGTGAGAATGTAACTATCGGTGGTCACTCACCAGCACTGTAACCGCTTCTGCAGAAATATCAACTCAAGTTCACAAGGATTGCATGCTGATTATTATGATGTTCAGTGATTATTTCATTTCTAAGCCAGTTTGGGGTTAATAGTTTCTCTGGTGATATTTTTATGTACTGGTCATTGCAAAGTTAATAGCTCGCTAACTATCTGCAATCCTTCATCAGGGGTAGAAATTAACTTTTAACACGGGAGTCCAACGGAAAAAAGAGGGAGTCCGCAGTCTGAGGATCAAAATTAAAGATATTAACAATAACGCATGTGGTTATTTTTAAGATTCATGCTGTTGCACGTCTGCCAAATTTTCTTTGGACATTAGCTGAAAAATATGGTAATTCCGCGAGGCCGTGCTCTGGAATGAACTAGTTGGTATGGCAGAATTTTCAGGGAGTCCAACAGTAAATCAGGGAGTATTTGACTCCGGACTCCCTTTAATTTCGTACCCTGCTTCATATCTAACACTGTAGATGATAGATGCATACCCTTACTCTCTTGCACTGTTTTTACCTTCTGCAGGTCAGACAGTCATTAACTCTGAGGTTGAGTTGGTTGTGAAGAGCTTTACAGTTGTGTTGAACAAGGTTGACTACGAGCTTGCACGTCTCAACATGTCCTCGCTGGCAGCTCACATCTCGCTGCGTGATGGCAATAGCACCATGCTCGGAAAGCTCGGCAGTATCTCCGTCACGGACCTCACGCCACACGGCGACCTCTACAGGGAGCGATTCAAAACCGTCGGAGACAACGCTCTGCACTTTGATGTGTTCAAGTAGGGCAAACTTGCATTTTTATTATGTTTTGTATTTTATAAATAGGTATTGTATGTTTGTATTTTGTATTTTTTGTATTGTACGGGCAATCTTTTATTCCTGATCATGTATCTCTTTTTTGTGATTCTTACTAGTGGTTTATATTAAGCTAAAGTCACACCAAGCTCCCGGACCGGGCCGGACGCTGCCGGACTGATCCGGGGAGAGATCCTTGTTGGGTCCTGGACGGTCCTGGACGGTCCGGCCCGGTCCGGGGTGGTCCTTGATGGTCCGGCGCATTCCGGGATATCGCCCCGGAAGTTTTAAACTGTTTAAAATTTCCATTAGCCGGAGGTAGATCCGGGACGGGTACCGGGAAGTTTTCACATCCTCGGTGAGTTAAGGGGGAGTGGTGCGAATTTTCTGGAGAAAAAAGTACGGTCGTTGGCGGGACGTCCGCTGGTAGGTCGGACAGTCCGTAGTTGCCACGTGTTGAAATCCGCCGCGATCGTGGACGCATCCGCTTAGTCACCCTCTTTTTAAAAAGAAATCGAGGTTAGCCACGATCAAGCTACTGGATCAAGAGAACCCAGGGACGGGAACCCAAGCGACGGATGGGCAGCACGGATGAGACAGACAGGTGGGTACAGACAGGCAGGCCCGGCCCGGATGTCAGGATGCCGAGGCAGTCCGGAGCGCGCTCCCGGTGCGCGTGCCGACACTGGAGAGATCCGGCTCGAGAGGGAGATGAGGCAGAGCCGGAGTAGCCGTAAGGAGTAGACTCTCGTGCTCGGCCTTGCCGGCCTTTCCCGGACTCAAAATCCAAGTTGGGAACCATGGTCCGTGGCTTCGCTCGCTCGTAGCTGTCCGCGCTTCCCGTACTCCAGAAAGCTTCCGGATTCCGATGCATGGTTTACGCACAACACAAACCAAACGGAACCAATCGCCAAACGAGATTATAAATTGTTTCGGTCCGGGAGTATTCCTGCTCCCCAACAATGTATCGCCGGTAATCCTGTGGACTTCCGGCCCAGTGTGATTTAGCTTCCTAGGCTCTTTTTCTCTTTTCACCTCATAAATACCTAGAAGCACGTGCCCAGCTCCTTATTATATCATGATAGGACCGGATAGTATGTGCTAGAATATAGACAAACCCTTATCGCAAACTCGTGATTAACCATCACCCCAGTGTACGTGTATTATTCTAATGTATAAAAATGTCATTTACAGTATTCTACCTAATTCTTTCTTGTGTATGCAGTGTGTATCCTCAACCAATATCCCTCCACAAACTATGAATCAGACTAACTAGGTTAGTCGCTCTCTCCAATAATAAAACTACCTGCAACTTCAATACAACAGCAACATACATGTGCTGCGCCTCTCAACACATTGTACATAAGTCATCTGTCTTAATGCCCTATTATGATGGAAGTCAGTTTATTAATACAATTCCAAACACCATAAACCCCACATACCATAACATTAAAAAACCACCACCCGTGAATATAGGTTTTAAGAATTAGTCACGCACACGTACTCAGAGGCTCGCTATTGAAGTCGCCATCAAATAAGTACTTTTGCTTAACAAGCACATATGCGTACACGCTCACTCTCCAATCGCTCCCCTCTCCTCTCCCATCTCTTCTCAATTTGAGAGCAGTCAGGCCTTCGAACCCATAGTCCATGCAATTTACAACATGTACCCGCCGCCCGCTTGCCATAACCCAACATGATACGGCCGCACGACCACGCACGACTCGCGTGTTTGAAGCTGCGCATGTCGTACTGCTTAGAACGCGCGCAGATGCACTGACCTATCAAACCCGCCATGCCACAGCTCGAAGACTACCATAACAGAGCATAAGACTCCTCCTGGCCTCTCTGTCAACCACTCTCTCACACAATAGAGCCTCAAGTCAGGCGCATAGTGGCTGCTCTTCAACCCAGGTCAACACAGAATACAATGGGCACATGTACGCCGCTGCACCTCTGCTCACGACTCCCTAAGATAAGCATGCACCTATGTCAGGTGCCTCAACCGCCCACCAAACAATAAAACATGCCGCACCTGCTGCGTGGCGCCACCTGCGTCGGCCGCGCCCGCGGTGCGTCCCTCGCGCGGTTGTTCGCCCTCATCGCGGCTCATCATGCTCGCTGTCATGCTGGCCCGTTCAATAGACATGCGGCAAAAAGCCGGCTTGGCCGTGGCACGCATATCTCTTTGTCACCGTCGAATAAACAATAGGCAGCAGGACGTGAGCGAGTCAGGAAGTTGTCGCGTGGAGAGCGGGCGACGGTGGACACACTGCGTGGCCGACTTGTGAGCTGTGGAACTATGTCGAGTGCTGGCTGGAGGGGCCGAGAGCACGGGTAGACGGAGACGACCGCCGGGACCCACAGGGCTTCGTCTCAGGGATGCGACGCAGAGCTGCGTGAGATGAAAACCGCAAGACAAATACCACGCTGAGCTCGACGCGCAGGGCCATGCAAGCACAACCGGCGCGAAACCATAGCAAAATTACAGCGAATAATATCAATAGACGGAGGATAAATCAATCACTGAATATAATGCACATACTGAATATGTAAATTAATATAAATGAAATGATGGTAAAAAATATTGATATACTTTTGTGCAGGGCCAGGAAAGCAGCCAATATTTCCTTATTGCTAGCAGTGAAGTGCTTAGTAAACAGCAATGCAAGCCTGTGGATCAGATTTTTTCTTTCATTGATGCCAGTTAAGGTTTTCATGAAGTGATCGCCCTTCTATGAACAGTGGTAGAGGAATGTTTCTGCTGCAAGATGTAGTGCTTAATGGAAACATGCGTTCTAGCTACCAGGTAAGTAGTTAATGAGAGATGTGCTTTCTGGCTACCAGTGAGGTAGTTAATGAGGTGATGTGCCTTTCTGGCACCACGGTGAGCGTAGTTAAAATCAGGCGTGACATACCTTTCTGGCTCAGGTGAAGTATTAATATGGTGACATACCTTTCTGGCCACCAGGTTGAGGTAGTAATATGGTGCTACCTTTTGGTACCAGAGTGAGTAGTTATCGAGATGACATACCTTTCGGGCTACCAGCGTGAGAGTTAAATCGAGATGACATACCTTTCTGGCTATCCATGTGAGTAGTTAATGAGATGACATACCTTTCTGCTATCAGTAAGGTAGTTAATGAGATGACATACCTTTCTGGCTATCAGTAGTATAATGAGAATGACATACCTTTCTAGCTACCAGGTGAGTAAGTTAATGAGATGACATACCTCTTCTGGCTACCAGGCGAGGTGCTCGTGCTGGACATGAGTGTCCACCAGGTCTGCGCCGACGATGTGACAACACAGAACAGACTGAGACATTCTTTTGGCATAGCGGCGATAGTGAGGTCTCTGAATTTGGCACCGCATGCGAGAACATGCATAAATACATCACACACGCCCAAATATGACAACAACATACGTGTACACGTATAATAACCTAGACTATTAAATCAATACCATGACCATGCTACAATTTCTTTCATAACACTGCCTCCATTGGTGTTTAAGCTGAATGCAAATAGATTTCAGTCTTGATTACACGTTAAGTGAAAGTGGCTTTAAACACATGAATGATATTTCTAATCCAAGATACGTTACGTTCACTATGACATTTTCGAAACTGTGCATATCGATTCTACAAGATCTATTGATTAAGCCAGCTATCATAGGAATGCTTGAGTGCATTATGTAGTCACGACTGTGAGCACGAACTCACACTCTTACACGTCGTATTTCATCCACTCATCTGATGAAGTGGGAGAGTACCTATAGAGAAACACCGGCGTGTGCATGCACGCCGACGCTAAACATGCTCATGACAAGCTCCTACAAATGCATGTCTGCGCGGACCTACGTCGCACGAGAGCCGCCATCTAGCGAGCTCGCTATAAAGTACGCACGATGCCACTTTGACCGCCACACGCACTTGCGTCTGCCACGGGATGGATGGTGCGGAGACGGATGGCAAGGCAGT